GTATCCACACTCCCCACTAGGGTTTCTCACCGGTGTGTTTTACTAGATGATAGTCCAAGCTGGATTTCTGTGCAGCAGAATAGTCACGCTGGTCACACTTGTAGGGTTTTTCTCCTGTGTGTGTTCTCATATGCTGGGATAAGTTGGACCTGTCAGTTGTTTTGTATCCACACTCCGCACACATGTAGGGTTTCTCACCAGCATGTATTTCTAAAAGTCTGTCCAAATTAGCTTTCTGTGTAGCAGAATAGTCACACTGGTCACATTTGTACTATCACCTCTCGAATAAAAGTACCCACTGGAATAAAAGTACCCCCCGGACAAATCTTCAAAATCTAATAAAAGTACCCCCTGGAATAAAAGTACCCCCCGGAAAATGTGAAAACTGACATGTTAGTAACATCTATGCTCCAAAAATACCTCCTTAAATATGATACCCTCGACAAATCTTCAAAACTTAATAAATACCCCCCAGATTGAGAATAAATATACATGTACCCCCTGGAAAATTACCAAATTAACAGCCTGTATTCGCAGGTTTTTGAGGAATACATGTCACTTGCAGTGTAATGCATCTATGATTATGTCATCCATCAATATTCTAGCTCTGCCTTCATACAATTTGTTGTTAATCATTGCATTGCATGCTGTATCAAACAGGAACAGTAATATCAAGTTTTTATATAACTTGATAAGAGTACTTGATTTTTTAAGCTTGATAATTATCAGTAAGATTTCATTTAGAGCTTGAAGTTGAACAAATGCTTAACATATGCTCTATACTGTACAAATTGTGATACTAATGTGTAAAAGCCATCAGCAAAAGAATTGATAATCATCTACAAAATATTCTAACATAATTATTTTATCTTTCCCAAATTTCAATTTATGCAATGAATGCAAAAATTTCTCTTTATAGTCACTTCTATAAAAAGTAATGATCAATGCTACAACATAATCATAGTTCAAACAAATGGCAACATTGTAACACCAAGGACGTTCAACATTGAACACAGTTGAACGTCCTTGGTAACACACAACCTCAGTCAAGGTTCTTATGTTAAATGTGCTTGCCTTTGAAGTGCCCACTGAAGTATGCAAATGAGTAGGGGCGGGGCTTCAAGTTTGGAACAGAAGTTCTTGGAAAACTGAGACATTCTTTTCCAGGGGGAAATATTTTCTTTAAAATATTTTTTTGTGATAGTTTATACGTTAGACTGCAAGTGTACTCCTATTTGTGGTCTTTTAAATATTGATTAGCTTTGTTAAATGCAACATGCATATGTATATTTTTGACAAAGAGTTTTATATATATTTTGTAAAAAATTGCACCCCCCTACTAGAAGTGAGCTCTGCCGACTGTGAGAAATGCCTGTTTACGTATTTTACTTCTTTGAAAATTGACTTTTTCCAGCGCTAAATTTTCATGTTTGTGGTAGGATTTTCGACTTTTTGGGGGTTATACAGTTTGTAATTGCTGGAATACATTGTTGTGTGGTATTATTTTAACATATTCCCGAGAAAAAGATCGTTTTGAGCAAGGAGCAAGTTCCGCCGATTTTTCTATAAATATAAACGCCCGTTATACTTTATTTTTGCGACACAATACGTGTTCCCAAAAATAATTTACATGTAAAAGGTAGGTACATGTAATATGTTGTAAGAATTGCCCTGATTTAAAAAAAAATTATAATTTGTAAACGTACCCTCCAAAATGGAACGTAGCGGGACCTTTCTTATCGGATGGGAGAAGAGGTGTATACTTTAGTATTTTTTGTCATTTAACGTGCAGGACCGCAAATTTGCTCGAAACTTTTCCGATAATAAAAAGAAAGAAATAAACGTACCGTCTTAAATAAGAATGTACCGGGTGGATTTTGAGGCGACAGCTTATAACGCTTAATCTGTATGATTTCTTCTTTTTTTTTTCGTTAGGATGAACAAGGGAAAAAAATAAACTTACAGTACGTTTATTCGAGAATTCTTTAAAGCTTGTTTTCTATAAATTCTATTTCATCATTAACAGCGTATAACGCTTAATCTGTATAATTTCTTCATTTTTTTTTCGTTAGGATGAACAAGGCAATGGCAGGACACGGGTCTCCCACCGGAGTTGGTCAGAACTGCTGTGATGGGTCTCCCACCGGGTTTTTTTTAGGTCGACTGTGACAGCAAAACAAGCGATGCTGAAGACCAGGCGGCAGCACAACAAGTCAACTTGAATAACGCTGGTGAGAAACCCTACATGTGTGGGAAGTGTGGGTACAGGACAGCTAAAAAGTCTACCTTATCCCTTCATATGAGAACCCATACAGGAGAAAAACCCTGCATGTGTGGGAAGTCTTGGTACAGAACAGCTGACAGGTCCAACTTATCCCTACATATGAGAACCCATACAGGAGAAAAACCCTACATATGTTGGGAGTGTGGATACAGGACAGCTGGCAAGTCCAACTTATCCCGACATATGAGAACCCATACAGGAGAAAAACCCTACAAGTGTGACCAGTGTGACCATTCTGCGACATGGAAATCTCGTTTAGACGATCATCTCACAAAACACACTGGTGAGAAACCCTACATGTGTGGGGCGTGTACAGGGCAGCGGTGAGGTCCAGCTTATCCCTGTATATGAAAAATCATACAGGAGAAAAACCCTACAAGTGTGACCAGTGTGACTATTTTGCAGCAGAGAAATCTGCTTTGAACTTACATCTAGCAAAAAACACCGGTGAGAAACCCTGCATGTGTGGGGAGTGTGGATACAGGACAGCTATGAGGTTTCACTTAGGCCAACACATGAAAGACCATACAGGAGAAAAACCCTACAAGTGTGACCAGTGTAGCTATTCTGCATCACGGAAACCCACCTTAAATGATCATAAAGCAAAACAAACCGGTGAGAAACCCTACATGTGTGGGGTGTGTGGGCACAGGACAACTAAAAAATCCGACTTATCCCGACATATGAGAACCCATACGGTAGAAAAACCCTACAAGTGTGACCTGTGTATCTCCAGCTTCTAAGTTTGCCCTAACTCGACATATAAAAATCCATACAGAGGCACATAAGTCTGCAACTGCGATCATCTCGTAGTGACATTTAGGTCTGCTGTTAACTAACAGTTTCATAAATATTTAGGCTGAATATTCTGTAAGAATGTATGATGTTTGCAAGTAGGCATAGGTTTTCCTCAGGAAAAAGCCCTATGCTTGTTCACTTTAATATCTAAGTAAGTTATGGCTATAATTTAGGTCAAGAATAAGTCTTAGTTTCCTCAGTTGGTGTAAGGCGTCCCACGGTGCCAATTTACTGATTTTTCAGGTCCTTTCGGAAAAATGCCATAACTCAGCCGTAGCTGGTCAGAAATGGTTCAAACTTGGGGGAAAGGAAAAATACAACTTGTTGAGTGTTGAAATATTACTTTCATGTTGTTATATTTCTTATATTTGCATATTTCTATGTCTGATATGATGCATAATTCTTAAACAGAAAACGTAAATCGAGGAACTATAGCCAACATCATAGACAGACGCTTTTTGGAGGGTACATTCTTACATCTGTCACGATTTAGAAACTGTTTTGATATATTTGAAATATTATTCCTGCTTTTTTATTTCACTCCATACTTAAGTATGGAGGGAAATACTGTTTTTACTGATGATTCTCCTCCTTCTTCTTCTTCTTCTTCTCCTCCTGCCATTTCTTTAAATTGATTCAATTCCTTCATTTTTGGGCCAAACGACCTGGAATTTCGTATAAAGGTAGAGTGGGTAAATACCCCTAGGCGTTTTTTTATTTTTTTTGATACAAGCTTTTACAATCGTTTTATTTGCGTTTTTAGCTGTTCCCATAGGAAAGTACTGTGGGGCGTACGCGCGTGACGTAATAAGAAAGGAATTCGGGGGCGGGCCCAAATATGGGCATGCAAGCATGAACCTGACGCAGCCTAATCTTTTCTTCTTGCTGATTGGCTGTTGGATTTGATTGGATTAACTCAATTAACACCTGTTCAAAGCCATTCNTATACATGATGTTTGCAAGTAAGCAAAGTGGGCACTTAAATATCTAATTAAGTTATGGCTATAATTTAGGTACAAGAATAAGTCTTAGTTTCGCTTTGTTGTAATATGAGATATCAAAGTCTATTTTTATAGCTATCTAGAATTGTAGAGTGAGAATAGTAAGCGTTATAGTATTGATTGAATAATTTACATATACATAATCAGTAATTAACATCGGTAAGTGATTGTACACAGTAGTTGAAGCTGAATGGTAGACATTAGTGCTGTTGTTTGTACACTAATAGTTGGAATGTAGACGTTTAATGTTTCTGTGTACGAGCTTAGATGTCCTGTGTATGCACTAGTAGTTCCTGCCACGAAGTGTCTTACAAACACAATTATATCTTATGACTAATATCAACTCTTTAAACTACGAGGATTTCTTAGGATGAAACCCAAAAGCTAATAGTATGAATTTGTAACAGATTGAAATAACTGATGTTCTTCAGTTTCCAAAGTAGGAAGTCATTTTACGACAGTGAAAAGGTAGACGAAAGGTTGTATACAACTAAATTTCCTGTTTTGTAGTTGTTGTTTTTTTCGCAGATATATCTAGATCTACAGATATTTTTTCCGATTACACAATTAGATCGTTATGTACCACGAACATTATGTTTCCTTCTGTGTTGCTTTATTTTCTTGGATGGAATATTGTCCGTGGTGGTCAAGTGATTTGATCATTTAACATAGAAATTCAAGATTCACACCAAACAGTTTGGCTTGACATTCATTCCCTTAAAATCTCTCATTCGTATTAGATCAGAAACAAAAGTCAGACGCTTGTTACGTTGTTAAGGTGGTCGGTTTTAAACAAGGAACGTTGACATTATGATGAAAGCGTAACGTGCTACTTGACGTCAAATGCACTACTTGGGTAATCAGGCCAATGAAATTCACCTTTGACCTAGATCCCGTTCACCTCTGACCTTACGACACGAAGGAAGGACAAGCTGCCCGAGTTCCGGTTTACGTGAAGAGAAAAACCGTCATAGGAAGCAGGTAGGGCTTAGAAACGGGCAGAGAAGTATTCTAATGTCGAGAGGAAGAGTTTGAGCCCATTTCTGTGGAAGAAGAACCGCAGTAGGATAATAATTTGTAGGCATTTAAGGAATGTGAATATCGTTGATTAAAGGGGGGAGGGGGGCGGAAACCTAACATACGTTCGACCCTCGCCACTTACATGCACTGTATCAGGCAAAGTGGCCTTTTTTGGGAGGATTTGGAATTATATAGTAATAGAGGAATTTTCACTGGATTGTAAAGAAACGCAATGTGCGTTGTGTAGCGTATTACGGCTGGGTATAAATCGGCTTAGAACCAAGAGGTCTGGGATTCCAATCCTGCCTAGTCACCGACCCTGTGTCCTTGGGAAAGGCACTCTTGTGTGTGTGCCCGCGCGCGTTTGTGTGTGTGTTTGTGCCCGTATGTGTGTATGTGTGTGTGTGGGCTTGTGCCTGTGTGTGTGTGTGTGTGTGAGTATGTATATGTGTGCTATGTGTGTGTGTGCTATGTGTGCGCGTG